GTGCGCTACCATGCCCAGCTAATTTTTTTATTTATTGTAGAGATGAGGTCTCGCCAAGTTGCCCAGGTGGGTCTTGAACCCGCGGGCTCAGGCAATCCGCTCACCTCGGCCTCCCAAAGCTCTGGGATTACAGGCTGAGCCACCGAGCCCGGCCTGCAGTGATTCTTAATGTTGCGGCCCCACTTGAGAAGTAAAACTTGGAGGACTGCACCTTGGGCAGACTCTGAGCTACCAGACTCTACCTGCAGCTTCCTGATGAAGAAGATCCAGATTTTCACCTTGAGAGTGGAATAAATTAGTACCAATTAACAGGCACTATTCTGTACAATGTGATGCCTAGTGAAAGGCAATAGAAGCAAATAGTTTTGTCCTAAGACTTTTCCATGTTTCTGAGAGACTTCCATAAGGGCTTTGACCATGTGGGGAAGAAACAAGATCTAAAGAAAACATCTTTTTTTCCCCCTTAAGATAGCTGAGGACATCAAATTCAGATGCAAGTGGAACACCTGCCACATTCAACAGAAAACTGCAGACATAGGCAGCTGATCTGGAATCCATTCAAGTCAGTAAGTTTGTTATGCATAGCTTTCTTTTTCTTTTCTTTTTTTTTTTTGAGTCACTCTGTCACCCAGGCTGGAGTGCAGTGGCACACTCATGGCCACTGCAGCCTTGACCTGCTAGGCTAGGGTGATCCTTCCACTTCAGCCTTCCAAGTGACTGGAACCACAAGCATGTGCCATCACACCCAGCTAATTTTTGATTTATTGTAGAGATGAGGTCTCACCTCCACCTCCCAAAGTGCTGGGATTACAGGTGTGAACCACCACACCCAGTCTATGCATAGCTTTCTTACTTTTCTTTTTTTAGTTGGAGTCTTACTCCATCACCCAGGCTGGAGTACAGTGGCACGCATGCTCACAGCCACCCCAGTGTTGACTTGCTGGGCTCTGGTGATCCTTCCACCTCAGCCTTCCGATTAGCTGGAACTACAGATGTGTGCTACCATGCCCAGCTATTTTGTATTGTATTGTAGTGACAAGGTCTTACCAAGTTGCCTGGGCTGGTCTTGAACCCGCAGGCTCAGGCAATCCACTCGCCTCGGCCTCCCAAAGTGCTGGGATTACACGCTGAGCCACCGAGCCCGGCTGCTTTCTTGTCTTTGGAAGTGGAGAGACAGAGTCTTGAATGTGGAGTCTTGACAATATTATACCTTCTATATAAGCTTATTCTCCCTGGGACCAGAGAGTAACCATAGTTATCTTGGATCTCAGGTAAAGAACATTCTTCTCAAGGTGTGGGTCTCCTGCTAGACTCTACTTTCATCCAAAAGCTGGGATACAAAAGTTCAGGAACATTCTTATCTCCAGAGGAAGATATATACAGTCAGTCATATTTATTGAACATGCTAGCAATGTGATTTGAACAAAAAAGTCACTAGGTCTAGAAGATACGTAGGATCCCCCATTCCCTCTCACCCCTGCTTTCTTTCTATGACCTGACCAAAATTCAGAGTGCTTTGAATGTTCTACAACCCAGTCACCTGCTGGTTCAAACCCAAACTGGCACCTTGAACATCCTCAGGCACTGATAAACGCATCTAGCTCTTTGCCCAAAACACTTAAAGAAACTGGCCCTCGCCCTGAGCCAAATTCTTCAAACCCTCATAAAAACTTCATACCTGACCCTCTCATTGCTGACATACCTATGTAGAACACCCCCTTTCTCTCACTGTTCGCTTCAAGGATACACTGTAGCCCCCTAATAAATGCATTGGACTGATCACCCTGGTATTCAGTACTTCTTTCTTTGGAATCCCAGCTGACCCCATCTTGGGAGGATTTGGAGCTCTCCCTTGTAGGAAGTCCCCTGCTGCTGCTTTTGGATGATTCCAGCAGTGAGTTTGGTTGAACAAAACAACACTGAAAAAAATTCATCTTTTTTCCTTCTGTTCATAAGTCATTCGAACCTCCCAAGGACACATGCCCATTTCCATTGTCTGCCTTCAGCCAGAGGCAAACAGTCCCATGATCCTTCGACCCTTTCTTGCATCTAGATGGAACAGGAAGGGCTCTAGGCTTGGCTGCTGTGGCCACCAGATCAGGCTCTACAAGATCTGCAGGAGTCTTGCCTGTTTCCCTGAGATGCTATTGTCCCACCTGGACTGCTGGCCTGTGAAAGCTGAGGGAGGCAGTCTGGGGCCTGTATGGCATCTCTGGGCATGGACATGGAATACCCAGCAGAGGCATCATCACAGCTCCGTCCCTTTAGCTCTGGAAGGCAACTCAGATGGCAACTTGTTTATAGATGAAGAAACTGAGCTGCAAAGAAGGGTCAGGCAGAGCTAGGACTCAAAGTTGGGTGTCTAGACTTCAGCAACTGAGTGGCAGGACCCCCCCTTGGCCACTCCACTTCTCCCAGAGGTCCATAATTAGATGAGGATGTGTCTCCTTCAGGGCTTGGTACAGTTGATCTTTGCAGGCCTGGTCCCAAGACCGGCTAAAGCTGAGCAGCTTCCGCATCTGGCCTGGCTTGGTGGCCTCAGCTCTCACTCTCTCATACTGCTCCTCGCTCAGCACTTGTCCATACAGCTTATCCAAGAGAGGATCCACTGATGTCACTCGGGCCACAAGCTGCTCCCGATGTCGGTCTATGAAATGCAGCATGGCTGGGGCATCCAGGGGTGAAGGTGAGCCTGGTAATCAACAAAGAAGTTTTCCCACCTCAGCTTCTACCTCCAATCCCCACCTCTGGCTCTTCTCTCTCTCTTTTCTGCATCCCTGGCTTTCTTCTCCCTCTGGACAGGCATTTGACCACCAGAAAGGCACTTCTTCCCTTCCTTATGTCAGTATCTAGCCTGGTTTTCTGCCCAAACAGCAGTTAGGAGTGGAGTTCATGATAGGGGCATTTAAAGCTGTTGAGTGGGGGTTTCTAGGATCTCTGTGGGCAGGAGAAAAGAGGGATGAGGAAGGACTCTGCCCCAGGACATGCACTATCCTTTTTTTGGGGGGGGGTTGGTGTCTCACTCCATCACCCAGGCTGGAGGGCAGTGGCATGCTCCTGGTCACTGCAGCCCTGACCTGTTGAGCTCCGGTGATCCTTCCTCCTCAGCCTTCCAAGTAGCCAGAACTACAGGTGTGCGCTACCACGCCTGGCCAATTTTTGATTTATTGTAGAGACAAGGTCTCGCCAAGTTTCCCAGGCGTGTCTCGAACCCACAGGCTCAGGCAGGCAATCTACTTGCCTCGGCCTCCTAAAGCACTGGGATTACAGGCTGAGCCACCGAGCCCAGTCTGCACTATTCTTTAAGGCCTGATCCCAACTGTCGTCTGCAGTGATAGAGTCCCTTCCTTTCTCTCTTCTCTTCCCTCTAGGACCAGATGGTACACCTCAGAACTGTCAATGGCTCCTGTGGTCTTTAAGAGCTGTTACTGACCTATGGGGGCTGGAGGGACCAGAGCAGCTGCAGGCCTGAGATCTCCTGGAGGAAAACAGAGATGAAGAAGCATCTGTAACAGTGCTAGTTATTAACACACACGATACATGTCCAAGCTTCTACCCACTTCTGAGATAATTTGATTCAGAAAACAAGTTACAGACAAAATCTGATAGAATCTCAAGTAAGGGCGGGAAGGGCCCTTAGAGATTAACCAGGTGAATCCCTTTTTTATGCATATGAAGAAGAAACTAAGGCCCAGAGACTATGATTATAGACTAATAAAGAGAGAGATGGCATCTGAATGAACAATAGTAATTTCTTTCACAATATCCTAGACTCAGCTTTATCCAGTCTTGGCCTGAACAGAACTTCTGGAGGAGAACTAACCAAATCCCTTCCTAGATAGCTTAAACTATTTGACACCTCCTTATTCTGAGCAGAAATCAACTTCCTTGTCCTTGTTTGGCCTTCTAGACTCACATAGACCAAATATGTGTGCTCTACATTTGGATGTCAGAGTCAAGAATCAAGATAAAGCAATCTAGCCAGGCTCGGTGGCTCAGTCTGTAATCCCCCGCCTTCGGGAGGCTGAGGTGAGTGAATTGCCTGAGCCCATGGGTTCGAGACCCGCCTGGACAGCGAGATCTCATCTCTACAATAAGTCAAAAAATCAGCCGGGTGTGGTAGTG